TGGGAACCGGACTGACGTGCGTTTATACTGGCTTCTCGACGACCATTGAGGCGACCGGGATCATCATATGAACTGACCAGTTCTCCTAGCCTTTGGATTTAGTCTTTGGTTTAACGAAGTGCATTCATCCTTTCGTGGGTAGATTTGAATACACTTTTTTGGGTTCACAAAGTTGCTGCTGCATTATAGCAGTTGATCTTTAATAAAGATTGAATGCGGAATTGCCGTTAGTGCGTGTGAATGGGCAATGACCAATGGGGAGGGTCAAGAGTTGAGATCAGAATGATGGATGTGAATTTTGTGAAACCTAGCGCATCAGCTTACATAATGTATAGGCCACTGGGAGATCCTTAGTGTTTTTCTCCCACTGATGGTGGGACTCCTGGGGCATGATGGGACTGCGTCGACCATGGGACCTGTGCATGTGCCAAATCAACAATATGAAAAAAACCTGCACACGGGGACAAAGAATGTGGGCCTACGGTCTGTTGAGTGTAGGATACTTGGGCATGTCAGAAACAACAGCAGGAGGGAACACGCAGAAAAGACAAAATTGAAAATACAGGGAAGTGTGCATGTGCCAAGACAGGAAAAAAAAAAAAAAAGCTGTGCAGGCCGCACAGGGACGAAAAATGTGGGCCTACAGGCTGGCAAGGAGAGGATACTTGTGCATGTCAGCAACAAGAGCAGGGGGGAACGCGGAAAAAAAAAAGAAGACGAAATACAGGGAAATTGAAACGGAAATAGGAAGAGTATAGAACCCACATCAGGTGGGTCGCGCGTGTACCCTTGCATAGTGCCGTCGAGAATGGTACTGATAGTAAGGGCTGAGGAAACGGCATGTTCCTTTTTTTTTTTTTTCTCTTTCTGACATCTGAAAGAGAATACTTCTTATGCAGCAAGGGAGAGATATGCTGACAAGGTAATGTCAAAATGATGCCACACGGTTGCGTTTTCTAAACTTAAACTTGGGCGGTGGGACTTCACCCCAGATGCAGAAATAAAAATACATACAAAACAGTTTGTCACAGCCCCTCGTTTGTTGTCCTCTTCTCTCTCTCTGCCTACGGTTTTACCGGGCAGCTCTGTTTGAGTATATATATATATACTGATGAGTCGGTGAAACTCCGACGAATCCTCTTTCTGTTATTATGTTTCGTGAAGATTATTATTCCCCTGGTGGGAAGGGTAACCTGAGAAGATACCATTGGACTGGCCTGCCAACCGAATCCTCTTTCTGTTATTATGTTTCGCGAAGATTCCTTGCCTGTCAAGTGAATCGGAGAAGCAAAACATAGGTGGGTAGTCACTGTGCCATGAAGGCACTGCCTCCCCCTCCCCTAGGATCTTCCCCACCTTCCTTCCAAACCATTAAATAAGATGGTCCGCCACCACTATATGAAGACGTACCAATGTACTGGCTGTTCGTTATCAATACCTGCCGTTGATCTTGGTCACCCTTTCAATTCCCATCAGGGGGCGAACTTGACAAAAACTACGAGGGGTGTCTCCGTTGAAAAGGACACAAGCAGAGCTTATTGTTTGTCGTTTATGAGAGAGGGTCTGTAATTGTTAGAGAACAGTGTTTGTAATCATCATATCTATCCGTTTTGTCAGTTTTGGCAGTTGAATTATCATTTTAAATTGATTTGATACCCAGGAAGATTTTCATGACCGGGCGGTCACCCGGGCATGATACCCGGGCATGGAAAAAAAAGGGATTTTTTTTTATTGCGGTGGGGGTTTTCCGTGCCCTCGGAGAGGAGCCCATATCCGGGCTCTTTCCTTTTTTTGAGTGGCGGCTTTGAAGGGGGGCCCAGGGGGGTATAAATTAGTTTTAAAGGGGCTAAAGGAGTTTGAAGGGGGGTGCCTTGGTGTGACCCTCGGCCAAAAGTTGTTTGTATTGAAATTGTACAGAATTTTTTTTTTTCCAGATTTTTTTTTTTTTTTTTTTTTTTTTTTGGGCGCTGGGGCGGCCCTGGACCCTGCCCGGCCGGTCACCCGGGCGCGTTTCCAGGCACAATTTGGGTGCACGGGCGCCCGGGAAAACGACCTAGTCTGATACTAAATTAATAGTTTTAATCAGAAAATCATGTGTAGAGTCATTTTTGTGTCGATCTTCCGAAAAGGGTGAGTAAGAAGATTGTGGTCATCTTTTTAACTTGGACTGTTGCAAAGGCAGGCCAACCTCTGGAACCAAACATTGTGGGAGAGACGGACATCTTTCTACCCTTATCTAACGACGGCATCCCATATACTGAGAAGAGGGACATGCTTTCTTGTTTCAGAAAACTTGCCGACCCTCTTCCCCCCCGCAGCCCCCGGCTTCACTTATCTCTTCTCATCGTCAAACCCTCAAAGAGCCAGGGGACTTCCCCGGGTTCTCATGGTGAACGTACATTGCCAGTTGGCGATCCCTCTGCCCCCTCTTCCCATCTCTCCGTTTCAACTTCCAGTTGCCGATCCCTCTGCCCCCTCATCTCCCTCCCCATCTCAGTCACCTCTGTACTCCCCTCCCAATTGGCCAAAGCAAGGCCTACCTTTGTCGACTCCTGATTTTCCTCTGCTCATGGGAGTAGTTCATCGTCCTCCACTTGCCAAGTGCAATGACCAGATACATCATTCTGCTCACTTTGGAGTTCAAAATCTTACTACCCCAAGACTCCTGTGATTGGGCCAACATGGCATGGGTCCTTTTTTTCCTTTTGATTCTGTTTGGTCGGGACAACCTGCTACACATATCGGGCAGAGTCTCCGATCTAGTAGTGGGGAGAACCACTTGCAGGATAACAGGTCCAGCGTCTCTTTTGCACAGTGGAAAGTAGCGTCGATGGCTGACCAGCACTAAGTGTCTGATGAAAAGCAGAAACTGGACTGATTGCTGGCATCTCCACGTCCTATCAAAGGTTGCCCGAACCCTCTCTGACACAAAGTCTGTGGCTACTCCCCCTGCTGTCGTGGCCCCATTGTCAAGTCCTTGCTGCAGCGAGCGACCATAGACAGCTGAGGCTTGTTAGACATCACAATGTCGGCTTGGAAGGCGTGGAAAGCGAGCAACCAGCAGGCAACTAGCAAACCGTTCAGAACCGAATCAAGGGGGTAAGCGGCGCTGTTCCAGATCAAACCATGTTAGATCAGCTATAGGGAGATTTGGAGGTGGGAGGAAGTTGGGGAATCCACGGGGGGTCTCATGATGAAACCGGGGTCGATGGCAACCCAGTCCATGCTATGCATGGCTACAAGCATGGCATGGGGACCTCTTGTTCTCTTTTTTTTAAGTAAAGTTTGGTGTTGCGTTTCATCTCCAATTGGGATTCAGGAAAGCAATGGGGAGTCTGTGGGAACCTATCCCTGCATTCGCGGCTGCCATGGCAGGTGGCTTCAGAGCGATTGCATTTTGCGTCCTTTATCTCCAGGTTACTTTGATTGTCTGTCTTCTTTTTCTTTTCGTTACAATCCTGGCCAATTTCGAAGTGCAAAATTCACGAGAAAGCACAATGCCGTCCAATTTGCAGAAGAAATGAATGAACTTGAGAGAAGAGAGAGACTGAGAAGGAGAAGAAGAAGAAAGAATGAAGAAGAAAGAATGAAGAAGAAAGAATGAAGAAGAAAGAATGAAGAAGAAGAAGATGTACACCAGCGAAAGACCAATGATAATTCCCCCTCCTCCTCCCCAACCAAACTCCTTTCTCCTCACCGCATATTCCAGACAATAAATAACAATAATAATGATGAACGGCAGAACCAGAATCAATGTTCGAATTCCACTTCTACTGCTTGGCCTCACTAGAGGTCCAACATAGCCATGGCCTTCATCAACCAGGCCAAGGCTATGGCGGACTACGAAGGACCTAGCCCTGCTGTGCAAAAGACAGCGTAAAGCAGCTATGTCCGTTGCTGTTCAGGCCGCCAGGCCTGACTCTGCCTTAAAGCCTTCTTGGTGCGGCGCAACCCCAACTGGGGCCTTCCAGATGCATCGCCTAACAAGGTGATGAAGATGGCGCCCACCATAACCAGGTAGGTACTTTGCCACCCTCCTCCCTAGTCCCCTTCTTCCCTCCTCCTACGGGTGCAGCTCCACCATAGCCAGGTAGAAGCTCCCAGCCTTCTTCCTCCTCCCAGCGCTGGACTGCCCAGTGCTCTTCCTCCCTCCAGCGCCCAGAGTGCTAGCGCTTGCTCAAGCAGGATTTCGCCCTAACTTGCATACCGCAATTGAGGTAGAGCCCAGCGCTCTACCTGAAGATATAGCGGCGTACTTGCCTCTTGGGCGGTGACTTCCAGGTCGTGCGGCCTCCAAGCAACCGGTACCTCCTGCATTTCGGAGGGAAACATCATTGCAGGCTCTGATATAGCCCACACAGGCCCTGGACTCAGGCTACTTGGACTGGTACCGTCCTAGACCTAGCCTACCAACTAGCCGGCAGCTATGCAGCCCTGGTAGCAGGGAAAAACAGCAGGAGAGAGAAAACTGTACTGGTGGTTTAAATTCACCCTCAGTGGCACCCGTCTCTCGATACTGCACAGAGAAAACTGTGGGTGGGTTGAAGTTTTACCCGAGTTAACTGTTGTGTTCGCTGCAGCACACTGATCAGCCGCTTTCTCTGTGGCTGTGCAAGACTCCAGCCCCTATTTTGCTCTGCTATTTGATGTGTAGTTTGTACTGGCTCGAACCCTCATCTCAATTCTGTCTGTTATTACCTGTACAAAGTAGAAACCTGCCAGTTAACCTGCCCACTTACAAGTGCAAGGGAACAATTGGCACTCCGCTTCAGGCAACGTCGTGCAGAGTGGATTGCAGACTGACAGCGAATCAAGCTCTCAAGATGAATAATGTAGTCAAGAACAATCATGTTGTCAAGCATGCATTCAAACATTGTTGGATCATGTCACAGCTCTTTTCTATCTTCATAGCATGCCTCGTTGCAAAGGGATCTTCTGTACCCTCTTAGCTCTGGATTGATAATAACTTTCCCACAGTGGGTGTGTGGCTTCTCCTCCAGGGATTTTGACTGTCGGCTTGGACTCGGCATCTGAGGATGGCGACACAGCACTACATTTGGCTTGCCTTCATGGGAACAGAGAGTGTGTGGAGGTAAAATACTGTAATAAACGCCATGTCTAGTCTTTTGCTGATGTGACTTCACTCGCTTTCCGTCTTCGTTCAATTCTAATGGGCTTGTTGAATTGATAGATGCTGACATTGCTGAGGCTTTGTTTTGCGCACGTATCGTCAGCAGTTGTGAAGCAGCGAGGTCCATCATTTGGTGCGGTTGGAGCAGGATCCTCAGACGTTAATCCGTGTGAAAAAAAAAAAAAAAAAAAAAAAAAAACAAGGTCGTCTTTCCCCGGTGATTTGTCGAAGCCGGTTCCCTTGGCTGTGGTTTCGCAGGATGGTGGATGGCGACTGTGGGAATCTCGTTAATCCATCCATTTTCCTTCTGGTTTCCAAGGGTCCATTTGAAATTCCTCTCATTTTTTAATAATGCAGTAAGCCTTCGGTGGCCAGCCATACATAGCAGCAGACACACCAAAGAACAATTGTGTGTGGACCATGGTTGCATCCCTGCCGACCGCCGACCCCGACCCCCGACCGTATTGCAGCCGACCAGTAGGGCCGACCGGTCGGCGGTCTGCCGACCAGTTAGAAAACAACCATCCACTAATTTTTTTTCAGATCTGAGTTGGAAGCTGTACTGCGCTTGCTGAGTACAGCCCAAATCCGCGGGGTGCCGACGACCCCCGACCGGCGGGTGCCGATCAGTCAGGGGTCGCCGACGGTCGGCGTGTGCTACACTGGTGTGGACTCAGAACAAAAGCATAATAGATGTGGGAAGATTGCTTTTGTGACGGCATGCCTATCTTTGGTTCTTTGAACCGTCGAACAAAACGTAATGCGCGGAAGCGGATGCAGCTGTACACAGGAATTAATGCACCACGCACTCCGCCTTCCTCCAGCCTCCAAAGATCACAACTCCACATTCATTTTCATTTTCATTATCATACAGCAGTCTTGTAGATTATGGTCCATCATCGTTAGGACCACAGTCTAGAATCCGCTGAATCTGTCTCTTATACACATCTAGATGTGTATAAGAGACAGCAGCTGTACACAGGAATTAATGCACCACGCACTCCGCCTTCCTCCAGCCTCCAAAGATCACAACTCCACATTCATTTTCATTTTCATTATCATACAGCAGTCTTGTAGATTATGGTCCATCATCGTTAGGACCACAGTCTAGAATCCGCTGAATGAACCACAGCCATATGTCGGTTTCATGCGGATTACGCACGTTGAAGTCTTTTTCAGAGTTTTTTCCTTGTCTTGCGATCCCCTGCTGTCGAAAAGTTGTCCATAGTGACACGTCGAACGGCTAACAATCTGGCATGTATAAACTTGCGAGGCCTTGTAAATCCTGGCCTGGAATTTGAAGACAAAACTCTCCACTGGAATTTGAAGGCATTTTGCCCCAGTAATCCACAGTCCCTTCTTTCTTTAAAGTGCATTTTCCCCACTTGAGTGCAATGATCGCAATGATAGCAATGGTCACCACTGTCTCTTAATAATAGTTAATGTACATAAGTGAATATAATGTACGTTGGCATTATCGAGGGAGGCCGATCGTGTGATACCTGTAAGGCCAGGATTTGCTGGACGAGTTTTTGGCAGTATGTATTTAAAAAATAACTATGGCCGTGTGACGTTTTCGAGCTTGGGTAGGCAATCCAAACTTCAAAAGAGGTTTTGCCACAGCATGAGTTTCAGTTGCAAGAAGAACTCAGGCTGACAAAGCAGTTTGGTGCGGATTTTGTTATAAGCACTTATGTTGTGCCACGTCGGAGGACCTGGGCCAGGACTGTGGTGCCCACCACGGAAGGGGCCAGCCTCGTGGTCCACAGCGCGAAACAGTTGAGGCGCAAGTCACTGGGCTGCATCTACCGTCTTTCCCCCAACAATGAGACCCCATTTGAGTGCATACAAGGTATGTTTCCGGCCCTGTACAGCCGTAATGAGGGTGCTTTGTGTGTGTGGCGGAATAAAGCTACTGCCTTCTTTCCCGGAAGACAATGCACTCTTATCACAGCTGTACCGAACCACAAAGATAGCTTGTACACGTTTGTAGTGGAGTGGGCCTTGTTCAGGGGGAGACAGTCTCTCTCTTTGTCTGGCGTGTGCCTACCTTCTTCCGCCAAATGCAACATAGTGTCCCTACACTCTATCACAAATGTATATGAGCTATTTTTGCGGTGGGGTACAGCCATGATGAGGGTGTGTTGTCTTCGGGGAAGAATGCAGTACTCTCTCTCTCTCTGTCTGGGCATGCGCCATCTGCCACACAAAAGCACCATCATTACAGCTGTACAGGACCGAAAATAGCTTCTATGCATTCACATGCAGGTGCACCCCATTATGAATGCATACAAGCTATCTTTGTGGGTTAGGGTACAGCTGTGACGAGGGTGTGTTTGTCTTCAAGGAAGATGGAAGTGGTCTCTCTCTGTGCGGGCTTGTGCCTACCTTCTTTCGTCAAACACATGGCACCCTTGTTACAGCTTTACAGGACCGGAAATATGGCACATGGGGCCCGACTGTCTTCTCCTGAATAAGATGCACCCCCATTACAAGTTTATACAAGCTATCTTTGTGGTCCGATACAGGGGAAAGAAGGGAAGCATGCATAACCATTCACAGGGGAGAGAGAGAGAGAGAGAGAGAGAGAGAGAGAGAGAGAGAGAGAGAGAGAGAGAGAGAGAGAGAGAGAGAGAGAGAGAGAGA